TCCAGAGATAAAATTACATATGTATGACTGTTTCAACGGACAAACACTGACTAACAGAAAATTACTTACATTGGTATGATCTTGGCTATACAAAGTTAAATTTGTTTACAATCGGGATGTATGCCTTATGTAAGCCCTCAGTGTCGGTTTGAAGATTGATGCTATTCTTTTGTTCTTTTATATGAAGCATCTCGGAAATTAATCGCTTATGGTAACAAGGTTCCTCGTCAAGAACTTCTATTTCATCCCAATTGAAATCATGATTATTCTCTAATGATTATTCTCTGTGTTCTGTTATAACTGAACGAGATGAAGTATTCCAACGTATATGATTTCGGTGTTCAGCAATACGTGTTCTTAGCTGTCTACTCGTCTGTCCTACATATGATGCATCACAATCATTACAATTGATCCTATACACAACATTATTTTTAGACAGACGAAGACGAGGATCCTTATGTACCTTGATGTATTTCTGTAATTTATTCATGCTGTAAAACGAGACTTTGATATCTTTCCTATTGAATTGATTAAATTTTTCTGTTGCTAACGGAATGAATGGCACTGTAAACCATGAAACATTGGTTACTTGGTCACCACTATTTTGATCTTGATTATTATACGCTGCACCTCTAACTCTGATATTCTTTAGTCTTTTATTAATCACGTCAAATATAAATTTTAACGGATAATCATTATCCCGTAAAATATTAATTATAAGAGTCAAATTTTTATTGTGAAATTCCGAATCAGACAATAAGATAGCCCTGTCAACCAAACTGATGATAACACCCTTTTTTTGAGTTAACGGGTGGTTGGAATAAAAATTTAAAAACCTCCCTGAAAAACTAGGTTTATGATACCAGTCAAAAGATAAAAAATTGTTTTTAACCGTCATTTTGATGTCAAGAAAATTTAAAAATTCATCACCAATCTCCAGGGTTAGTTTTAACCGTGGGTGGAACGAATTAAAGCAAACTAAGAAATTGTCAACTTCAGATGAAAGAACCGCAGCGCATAGGTCATCCACATATCAGTAATAAAAAAGAGTGTTGTTCATAAATATATTTAGTGCCATCTTCTATAATCTTTGCATCACCAAATCAGCAACTATCGGTGACAATACATTATGACGAATATTAATTATTATTTGCTATGACACTGACTGACAAGAAGATTATGAATATTTTATCTTCGAGTTTTTAAATTGTTGACGTATAATGGTGAGTGTTCTATTGTATTTGCTTGAGTAATTATTTAATCAATTAATTGTAGAATTTTGTTAGAACATCAAGAAATTCTGTTCAATCGGCCATCCAACCTTTTGTCAAGCAATTTCGATACATTTGGTTTATGTTCATTCGTTGACGTGGTTTACTATCGAATTTTATTCAGCGTTTTCGAAGTAATGTAAAAATTTTATATTTATCATATATCTGAAGAGGGTCTAATACAAAGACCGAAACATGTTATATTTTGCTATGGAATTTATGTAATAGAATGTTTTAATGTAATAGAATTTTGATTAATTTTTAATATTGTGCGTTAGTATTGACTCTTACATGCCTTGTTTTATATTTGATTTTTATTTATAACTTCATAGTTACTTTTTCAAGCAAGAAGTTTAATTGAAAAAAAAAACAGGCCTGCAGACACAATAGAACGAATAAGGAATTAGAAATAATTATTTCAACCAATCAACAATCGGATACACCTACTGGTATATATATAAATAGATTGAAATCATTATTCCTCATTCTTTATTTATTCTATTGTGTCTGCATCCTTATTCTCTATTAGAGGCCAGCCATATTGAATATTAGTTTATTTATGTATATTCGCCTAGGTGGCGTTCAAAACATTATTCCAAAGTAAAGTATGGGAGTTGGTTATCTATTTTCTTATACAGGGTGGGGAAAAAGTATGGAAGCAAACAATTATTTCCGAAACTATTCATTTTTCGACAAAATGTCTTAGACATAATTTTTATGGTATGAAAAGATGTATTATGTGGCATAGACGGCATGACCTTGAAATGACCCTTACGAGCTGCATACAAATAACGTAA